GCAACAGGTCTTGTTCTACTGAGAACAAGCAGCGGAGACCTAACCCAACTCCCTTCTTCCACGTCTTTATATACACCATTTCGCATCTGATAGGCCCCTCCTCCTTTTAGGTAAATGCAATGTTCGAACAGGATATCTTCCGGCAACAGGTATATATGCATCCATCTCGACGCCCAAGCAAAAAGAAGAAAAACAAACACCAATAACAAGAAGAAAAGAGATTCTGAGAACCAGGCTCACTCAAGCCCACTCAAACTCATTCTTCAACCCTTCAACTCCGCTCTCATCCTCGGTATCCAAGTACCCCGCGATCCGCCCCTTGGGATCCCACACCTTGCGCACGTCCATCAGCCTCTTGCCCTGCTCGTCGCCCCAGAACTTTGTCCTGCGGTGCCGGAAGTCGGCGTCACCGAGATACGAGCCCGCCGCGTGCCTCTCGACGCCGGCCATGATATCGCTCACCCAGCCCTGGCACCGCTCGTCGTCCTCGGCGTCCGGGTAGACTGTGTAGAGGGCGAAGTAGTGGTCCGACTGCATGCTGAGCGCCATGTCGGGCATGGTCTTTGCCGCGCCGTTGCTGGTGCCGTTAGACGACGACGGCGTCTCGCCGGCAGTCTGCTGCGTGCGCCGAGAGCAAGGATTCATGGAGAAGTACAGCGCAAACGACTGCGGCGTGGGCAGCTCGGTGAACGCCTTCTTGAGGACCTTGGGCACGTTGGCGTCGTTGGAGACGTAGGCGTTTTCGGATATGTAGCGGTGGGCGGGCGGGTTGGAGGCGTCCTGGTCGACGTACTGCTGCGGGAGGGAGGTCGGGGTGGCGAAGACGGTGGCGAGGGGCCGGGAGGGGTGGGAGGAGTGGAGGGGGATGAGGGCTTCCGGGTTCGCGGAGAAGGAGAGGAAGTTTGCCATGATTTGCGGGGTGGTTTGGCCTGGTGGTGTGAGGGCCAGGAGGACGATTTCGAGTTCTGGGGAGGCTTTTGGGGAGATCTGTTGTTGTATTAGTGATTGTTGCGTGAAATGTCAGGAGAGGATGAGGCGTAGACGGATTAGAGAGGGCTTACCTTGATCACCCAGTTCAGAATCTCCTCGAAGCGGTCGAGGGAGTAAAAGTAGAGGGACTGGAACATGCCCGTCAGGGGGCGGGTGCGGAGGTGGAAGCGGGTGACGATGGCAGGGAAGCCTGTTGTAAGTCGTTAGCCAAGTTTTCTTCTCCATCCCCCGATGAGTCGGGGAAGGCGAGGGGTCGGCCGGAAGTCACGTACCCGGTCCGGCGCCGCGCGCGGCCCAAAAGAGGTCGGCGTTCTCCGTCTCGGAGCAGCGGAGCTCTCGTCCATCAGCCGTGACGACCTCAATGGCGACGATGTTCTCACACGCCCAGCCCCAGTTCTGTCTTTTTGTCAGTTTCTCCCTTCTCAAGAATTCGACATCCCAGGCCGAACAAACTCACCTTGCAATTCCACCCCATACCACCCTGCAACAAAAACCCACCGAGCCCAACATCAGGACAATGACCACCAGGGAAGAACCTGCCCATCCCCTCAATACTTTCATCCCCAGGCCCGCCAATCTGCCCAGCCAAAAACCCATTCACCTCCCTCCCCGTCCTCGCCGGCGCAACACTGACAATGCCCGTCTTGGAATCATACGCGATGCCATCCTCGTTGCCGCTGCCCGCAACGCCTTTACCCATACTCCCCAGATCAATCAGCAGCGCCTCATCGCGAACAGACCACGCGGCCCACGAGTGGCCCCCCGAGCGAACGCTCACGCGCCATCCCTTTTCGTTGGCAATCTTGACGGCCTCGACGACGTGGGCTTTGCGCGTGGCGGTGACGACGGCGGCCGGGCGCCGGGAAAAGTCGCGGCGGGCGTTGAAGACGCGGCCCCAGACTGCGGTGGAGTATTCCGAGAAGGGGGTGTCTTCTGCGTAGAGGATTGGGAGCGGCGTGGCGGCCGGGGATGGGGAGGAAGATTGCTGTTGCTGTTCCGCCTGCATCTTTGCGAGTCGAGGGATTCTCATTGAGTCGACTTTTCGGGGGAGGACAAGGCAGGATCTGCGGGTTGGGGGTGTTATAAGAGTCGTCTAGTAAGGTAGGTAGATCGCGGAGGAGCTTAATTCAGATAGGACCGGGTGTTTCCGTCCTTGGTGAAAGAATGACGGCGTCTTGCTCTAATTTCCGTCCCGTCTTGGTTCTCTTCGATCAAGATCTCTTTCTTTTGCTGGTTTCCCCCTAATGTTGCTCTACCAGTCAGGTAGGTATTGTTGCGGCTTGAAGCTTGTGATATTGAGACAACGGATCGGGCCTTGGTATTCCCGGGAAATCTGGAGCTGAATCCGTTTTCGCGGGCGCGGGTTGCCTGACAAAGACTCAAAGGGCCAAGTAAGAAGAAGGCGTCGAGTCTAGTATATGCAAGCTGAGCTTTGGCGGGCGTAGATATGTAGGCTTATGTAGGCTTAAAGGTAGGAAGCCGTAGTTTGTATCGTCTTCAGTCCCGATGGATTGATTTGAACTCGAACTGGAGCAGTAACGTAGGTAGATCAATCTTTCAGCTGAAGGAAACAGCGCGGCGCCTCAAAAGCCCTAAATACTGTCCGCCCTCTGCCCCTCCTATATGGCCTTTCCGAGAGCTGTTTGTTTATCTCGCTGTCCTAATTCGAGGATTTCTGCGATTTCGCAAGCCCGCTGGCCCAGCTCTTTCACGTTTGTACGCTAGTCGTTATCAAATCAAACGAGGTGTTACGAGCAGCTTGGATAAGCCTGCCAGTCTGCGTAACACTCGCAGGCTTCGCACGCCTCGCTTGCGCTTGCTAGTAGGAATGGGGCCCTGTCTAGACCTGTGCCGACTGGAGCTCCCTAGCTGGGGGGTTTTGGCACCGTGTCGGCGCGTCCTGACTCTCCCTATGTAATATGCGGCTGGTCCAGAATCCAGATTGAGGTAAAAGGGTTCGGCGGAATAGAGAAATGCGGTCTTGGGTTTGTTTGCTATCAAAGCAAGCTTAAGCCGGATAAGCTTCCGAAAAGGTCCCAAGGGGAATAGAACAGCAGGAGAGACCCCCCGAGAGAGAGATCTTCTCCCGCTAACAATCCTTTGGAATGCAAGAATCGAACGACAATTGCCTTTCGGTAGATGAGAAATGTGGATAACAAAAGAAGTACGAGGTCAAAGCAAAAGAGGATCCAATGCGATGTTTCCAACGGCTAGTTTGAGAAATTTCAACGGCAATTCCGTGTTAAATAAGAAAAACAGGACACAGCTTGTAGTTTCATCGCGTCTTGGAACGAAGTCACCTTACTCTCACTTATTCTCCACGGGATGAAGACAGAAGAGGGGAGTAAAGAGAGGCAGAAAATCCACCCATCCACCATCAGCTAATCCTCCACCCGGCGCTGCGCGACCACCCCTCCCTCCCCCACTGTCCCGCGCAATTTCTGTTCCCGTGATTGGGCAGATGCGATTCATGTCTCTGCAGCAATTGGAGTGTTTCTGCGTCAAAAGAATGCCGTACCGTGTGGCATGCCAACGTTGTTGTGTGTGACAGTTGTTTTCTGTGCCGCCCGCCCGCCCGCATCCCGTGAAACCAAACAGCTTTGATGTACTCCGTGGACCGTAGGTATCCGTAGATCGGAAGGCGGGGAGGCTGAGAAGAGACAGAAGGCAAGAGATCTGACGAATGATGGGCATCGTGACACCAGGAAACAGCTTTACTCAGCGGCCAAAAGCAGAGCAAAGCAAACCTAGGTATCCCACCTCCACCCGGGCCCAGGCCGCTGACGAAAGCCTCCGTGGCCTCCGTGGCGCATCACCATATCCCAGGCCACCTCACCTCACCTTACCTCATCACGACGAACCACAACCTCGGTCCGTTCTCAAGGAATAGTAAAGACAAGAAAGAGAGCCCACCAGAGGGAGAAAAAAGGGGACCACAGCAATCTTCAACACTACGGATACTCACGGCGACTAACCAAGTCCAACCTTAGCCCCCTCTTCCACGAGCCGCGTCAACCATGGAAACCACTACTTCGTACTCCGTAGACTAACTAGTATTGCTTAGCAGGGAACCTAAGCCGGCCCGCGGGAGACCGGAGCAAGCACGCGGCACTACCCATTTCGCAGCTTTCGTAGCACTGCCACCACGGCCACCTCGTGGCTTTGTCTAGACATGGTTAACTACCAAAGTTATGAATTCGTGGCAGAGCCTGGGCCCTGAAATCTACGGGACCTGGATTGTGGAAAATCGGATCAGGAACCCGCACACTCTCGACTCAGTTCGGGGGTTCCTGGTGCCCAGTCTAATTACCACGAGGAAGTACGGATAGCGCTTCCGCGGACCGTAAGTTCGTAAGCCACGGTGTGATGGCCGACGGCAACATCACCAGTCACGGCAACTCAGTTTCTAAGACAAAAAGTTACAGCGCCGGCGACGGAGACCCTCGGACTCGGGGAAAGTTGGGAGCTGGCAAATTTGGGCTTGCGAGAGGAAAAAGGGGGTATCGTCCATTGCTACCTCGTCCCGTCACACGCAAATTCCTCCAAACAATTACACACATACACTCACTCAACCGCATGCCAAACTATTCTGACACGCTACACAGCACAGCAGCAGCAGCACCTACAGCACGACAACAGTCGGCTGTCTCTCCCCATTCTCTCTATCCATCTCCTGCAAATCAATTTGAGTATCAGTACGCAAAACAAGCACTTCTCTTCCCTTTCCGTTGCCAGCGCGTCTGTAGTCGAGCAAGTGCAATGCTTTTTTGCCCTTTCAACTAGACGCGCCAAACAATGTAAAAACCCCCGTGCTGTGTATTAAAACAAGAAACCTCGATCCCGACCAGGCGGGGTGGGCGAGGAGAAGCGGCCAACGAGCCTTGCGTTGCGTTGTGTTGCGGGAGCTGTCAGGCCGGTGACAAGCCTACTAGCCAACCCAGACATTTTTGCCTTTTTGAATCCTGTCCATGAGTTGCCCGTCTTTCTTTGGAAAGTGTGCTGGGCAGTATCTAGTTGTTATTGTTGTTATTGAGGTGCGGTGATTGCTGGAAATCTGTAATGGACTCCAGCATGGCCAGGTTCTTCTCCTGCATGTCGCGGTCCATATTGTGGATCTGGTTCGCGTTGACTCTAGCTCGTTGTAGCTGCGAATTCCGAATTAGCATTCTTGTCCCATCTCTCCAAACAAAGGGAGCATCAAGCAGGGCGTTCGCACCACAGCCAGTGCCTCGGAGGAATGGTCTTCTTCCTCACCTTCCGCGGGCTTGGCCGCTGAGCCGTCCGCCTCGTCGTCTTCGTCGTCGCCAACGGCAAATCTGCTGGCCGCAAGTCCCTTGGGCTTGGCAGCCGATGCGTTGGCCTGCATCGTGTTAGTGATAGTTCGTCCGAGCCGCACGTAACAAGAACCAAAAAAGCGTACCTTGGCCTCTGCAATCTCAGCATCCTTGACCTTGAGTTGCGCCTGGAACTCCTCAACGCCCTTCTCCTTGTCGGCCAATGACTTTCTCAGGCTCTCAACCTGCTCCTCCAGCGCTCTGCGCTTGGCCTGCTCCTCCTCCACAATCTTGGTCATTGTGTCGTTGAGCTCCTCGTAGTCGGCCTTGTAGGTCTTGAGCTGCTTGTCGGCCTCAAACTGAGATGCCTCAAGCTCCTTTTGCGCGAGCAGCAGGTCCTCCTTGACATCCTCGACCTCCTGCTTGGCAATGGTGAGGCTCTTTTGCACTACAGTGAGCTCCTGCTCAAGCCCCTTCTTGGTGTTGTTCAGTTGTTCACGGAGGTTGTCTGCCTCAGCAGTGTCGGGCGTCTTGTTCTTGACGGCATCGAGAGCCGCTTCAGCCTCGGCGCGCGCCATCTTCTCAACCGAGATCATGGCACCGAGCTCGCCGAGCTCTTCCTCGAGACTGGCCTTCTCCGTCTCGGCCTTTTTGATGGAGTCCTTGGCAGCGGAGAGAGCAGCCTCGAGCTCGGCCGCGCTAGCTTGGGTCTTGGTCTTGTCAGCCTCCGCCTGGGCAACGGACTCCTTGGCAGCCTGGAGGGCAGATTCGAGCTTGGAGGCATCGGCCGAGATCTTCTCAATCTCTTTGGCAAGCGACTCGTTTCTGGCCTCATACTGGCTAGTCAGCTCCTCCACAACCTTGGAGTGAGCCTTGTTGATCTCTTCGAGCTCAGCCCGGGCTCCAGAGGAGCTCTGCTGCTTCAGTGCCTCAAGCTGCTCGGCGTGGCTGGAGATGAGCTTCTCAACCTCGGCCGAGTGAGAGTCGTCGAGGTTTCTCTTGGCCTCGGCAAGAGCAGCCGCGCTCGAAGTCTCTGTCTCGCGGATGCGGGTCAGAGCCTCGTCGAGCTGAAGCTTGAGGGTAGAGAGCTCCTCGGTGTGCGCGCTGTCGCCAGCCTGCTTCGCGGCAGCCAGCTCGGCCTGGTGGGCCTCGGCAAGCTTGGCCTTGGCCTCCTCGATTCCAGCCTGGTGCGACTGCTGTAGCTTAGTCTTGACCTCCTCGAGCTCAGCCTCGTGAGAGCTCGCCAGTTTCTCCTTGAGCTCAGCGAGCTCGGCTTCGTGATCGGCACGCAATTTCTTGGTGATGGACTCGAGCTCCTCCTTGTGAGCAGCAAGAAGCTCTTCCTTGTTGCCAGTGCTCTCCGCCAGGGCCTTCTCTCTCTCGGCAGCGATCTCGGCGAGCAGCTTCTCCTTGTCGCCGGCAGTCTCCGCATGGAGAGCCTCGACAACTTCAGAGTGAGAGGCCTTGAGAGCCTCAAGCTCCTTGGCAAGGCTGGCTTCGCTGTCGGCCTTAAGAATCTCCAGTTGCTTCGCATGGCTGTCCTTGAGGATCTGGAGCTCGGCAAGCTGAGCATCCTTGTCGGCAGAAGCTCCGCTCTTGGCGCCCTCCAGTTCCTCAGCATGGCTAGCGCGAATGGCGTCGAGCGCCTTTTGGTGCTCGGCCTCCCGTGCTTCCAGGGCAGCAACAGCGGCGGCAAGCTCAGCCTTGGCCGCCTCGAGAGCCTTGGTGCTTGTCTCGGTGCCGTCAGCGAGGCTCTTGGAAAGATCGCCATGTTGGGTCTCGAGTTCGCCGTGCTTGGTGGTCAGCTCGGTGTGCTTCGACTCCAGCTCGCCGTGCTTGTTGGTGAGGTCGCTATGCTGCGATTCCAGCTCGGTGTGCTTGGTCTTCAGGTCGCCATGCTCAGTCTCGAGCTCGGTGTGCTTGACCTCGAGATCCTGGAACTTGCGCTTGAAGAAGGCGTCTCCCTTGAGGGACTCAATCTCCTCCTCGTAGTCCTGGGAAATCTGCTTGAGCTCGGCATCGTGCTTCTTGACCTGGGCGGAGTGCTCCGCCTTGGCCTTCTCCAGGGCCTCGTCCTTGGCAGTGATCTCCTCCTTGATGCTGTCAATCTGCTTCTGGAACTCGAGAGCCTCCTCCTTGGCCTTCGCAACGTCGGTCTCAGCAGCCGCAAGCTTGCTCTCCAGGTCGGCGACGTTGGCCTGGACCTCGGCCAGCTCAGCCGTCTTGGCGTCGAGGTCAGCCTTGGCTTGCTCTGCTGTCTTCTCGGCAGCCTCGAGCTTGGTCTTGAGCTCGGCGATCTCGCCCTCAACAGCGGCGAGCTTGGTGTTGTGCGATTCGACCTCGGCAGAGACCTTGCTCTCGTGAGCGGCCTCGAGCTCGGTTTGGGAGGCGGTGAGCTCGTCAATCTTCTTCTGGAGCTCGGCGATGGCGGTCTCGTGGCTGTCCTTCATCTTGGACAGCGCTTCCTCGTTGTCGGCGGAGGCGGACTGGCCCTGGCTGAGCGCCTCGCTGTGCTTGGCCTCAAGAGCGTCAATAGCAGACTTGTGCTGGTCCGTCAGGGAGCTCTGCAGCTCCTCAAGCTTGGCGGCGTGCTCCTCCGACGCCTTGGCCAGGGCGGACTCGCTTTCCTTGAGCTTCTCGTCGTGCTCCGCTTGGAGCGTTTCGAGGGACTGCTTCATCGAGGCAAGCTCGGCCTCGGCGGCTTCCTTGGCGGCAACAGCCTCAGTGTAGTCGCTCTGCTGTTTCTCGTAGTCAGCATCGGTGGCCATTAGATGTTCATTGGCCTCATCCACCTGGTTCTCGAGCTCCGTCTGCTTAGCCTTCAACTCGGTAACCTGGTCCTGGTGGGCCTTTTGGATGTTGTACACGGCGTTCCTCACCTGAACGGCATCTCTGTTCACCCCGTCGGTGTACTGGGTGAGCTTGTCCTGAGTCTGCTGGACCTGTGTCTTGAGCTCGTTCAGTTGCGACTCCTTGTCCGCGAGCTGGGTCTCCTTCTCGGTGAGCTGGGCCTTGAGAGACTCGACCTCCTTTCCAAGGGCCTCGGAGGCGCCGGACGAATCGGGGCGGATGGACCGTCTGGGAGCGGCGGAGGAGGTGGTCGAGGTGGAGGCGGTGGACAGGCGCTTCTTGGCCTCGGCAACGGCGCCGGTACTGGTGGCCGCGGAGGAGCGGGAGCTGATCGAGGAGGGACGCGGGGCTACCGAGTTCGGAGTGCGCGATGTCGTCGAGGAGAGTCGCGGAGCGGCGGACGAGCTGCTGGTGGAGCTGGCAGGTTTCCTGGCGGCGGCCGTGGCGGTACCAAGGGTGGAAGTCCTTCTCTCCTTGCTCGGGGAGGCGGCACTGCTGCTGGGAACAGTGGAGGTGCGCCGGGCTGTCCTCTTGGATTCGTCCTCGGAGGCGGATACACTGGGTCGCGAGCGGTGGGTGGCCGTGGAGGAGGTGCTCGCGGGCTTGCGGACGGTGCTGCTGGCAGTGCTGGAGCTGCTTCCGGGAGGACGGGTAGGAGGCTTGGTCAGGCCGCCGGCGACACGAGAAGTAGTGGAGGAGGTGGTGCTCGCAGGCTTTCCGGTGCTCGAGGTAGACGTCGTCGGGCGGCGGGCAGCGGCGGTGGTCCCAGAGCTCGAAGCGGGCTTCTTCAGGGAAGAGGCAGCTGAGGCGGTGGACTTTGTGCTCGGCGAGGTGGTGGCAGCAGCGGCGGCGGGCTTGGGGGCCTCGTCGTGCTGGACGACCTCGAAGCTACCGGCGTCGGACATGATTGTGGACGATGGTGATAGGACGTTCGGGAGGAGGAGAGGGTGTCGTCGTTCGGGTAGTTCTGCTTGCGCGTTATCCAGGTCAGCTAAGGCAGTTCATGAGGAAGTGATGGGGAAGGAATCTCGGGTAGCTGCAGGAATTGGGAGAGACGAAGGAGGGAAGTAGGCGGAAGAGCAACATTGTGGAGGGAGCCACAGCATTCCAGCATTCCTGGGGTGGTAAGGTCTCTGAGATGGTTATGCAGAGCTGCATTGAGCTCTCAAAAGACGACAATTGAGGTCGGAGAAGGATAAATTTGGTGCTTGGTTGTTGTGACTTACCTTGCGACACGTTGTACGCGGTGGTGTCTTGCTTGGTCGTCTCCTTTTTTTTTTCTTCTTCTTTACTTCTTATCCTTTTCCCCTTCTCCTTGCCGCTTGACTTTCCTTGTTTGGGAAAGCTTAAACTTTCACCGCGGGGGAAATCAACAGAACGATGGCAACAAAATAGTTGAAAGAAAAGCCGAAACAAGAGTACAAATGACGCACGAAACGACACGGAAATGCCGTCGTGATATCTACAAGTTGAGAAGCTCTGAACAGTGGCGAAAGAGCTGGACAGAGGTGTGAGAGAGGGGGTTGAAGAGGAATTGGGAGCTGGGAGATTGCTGGACCAAAGGCACAGGAAGGAATTGAGCCGGTACCTTTGGGTGAGATAGAGAAAGGTGAGGTGTCTAATTAGGTAAGGCCATGGGTCCTGGACTCCTGGTAGAGGATTTACGCAGTACTCCGTAAGAGAGAAAAAAAAAAAAAAAAAAAGGGTTGCTTCGAGATTGGCGGATGGAGCAACATGGGGGACATGGAGACGCTGGAGACGACGCTGGCCATGTCCAACAATCAGTCATAAGCTTCAAGTACTCCGTACTCTTGTGCCCGTGAGGTACCTCAGATCACAGACAGGACCCTTTTCCCACCATCATCTCAAGCCAAGCGTGGAATGAGGTACCTACTTCTGTCTAGGCTCTACCTAGGTAGAGACGATCCAATGTATGCATGCCCGGCACAGGCGCTGCACTAACTAAGGTAACTCAAGGCAGAGGATGCATCCCCAGCTGTCTGAAGCACTGACACCCGACGAGAACAGCAAGACGTCTACAAGCCAGGCCAGAACATTGGGCGGAAGCCACCCAAAATACGTATGCAGGACTATTCGCGAACAGATGCCTGAACATGGCTCCTGGGAACCTCTCACGGCATTGCCACATGGCCCTCAGGCTCTATCGTTCTGTTTCTCTGTTTTCCCAAGCTTCTCGTCTCGGGAAGAGGAAACAAGTTTAGCGGTCGGTACCTTACCCCTGACAGCCAGCACCAGCGATAAGGTACCTCTGGTCCTGAGCTCTCAGAGATGAGCCAACCAATGGACAGTGCTGACAGCGGGCGGCTCTCGCTTCGGGAGCTCGGGCAGTGGGCCCCCTTTTTCGCACCTGTCATTCGCTGAAAGGACATGAGCGCGTCTAATTGGCTTCAACACGTTCTCCACCACAAGTACCTTACCTGTACGGACAGGCTGTAGCTACGTATCTTTTGCGTCTCTCTCCACGTTCCAAACATTTCTGTTCCCCCCCAAATCTCGGCCCCAGGAAGCGCCTGTTCCATCATCTTTATGCAACCTCTGGATAACTCGTTTCCATTCGCCCAGCGCCCAAACGGCGTCACAAGACCTCTGGCTCGCGGGATCGGCGCAGGTATGGCATTGACTGAGTCGGACAGTCCAGTCCTACTGTCCCTTCGTCCCAGCAAGGCCAGGCCCAGTGGCTGAGTATCAGATGAGAGGGAGAGGGTCCGGAAGACTATGGAGTTGAACAATTCAGGGACGAGAGGGCAAAACAGTTGAGGCTGCAGTGTTTTGTACACTTGCAGAGGTACGAACGCTGTGAATAAGGCTGCCCATCACCAATCCCCCAATACCGAGGCCATCACCAACGAACCCCTGAACTAGCCTGACTAGCTATCAACCATCCGATCCATCTCACGCGCCGCGGCCTCTGCTAGAAGAGGAACGCGCCTTGTGCTTGTTCTTTGCGGCGCAGAGACAATGAGACCCTTACAAAAGTTACGAGTCGCAAAGGGGCACGAGCGACAAGAAAAACCCGCCAATTTATTATACGGAAATTTGACCTTCAGGTGAAGCTCCCCTCCCAGAGCCCCGGTTACTTTTTTGGTTTGATTGTATTTCCCTCTTCGTATTACAGAACTGTCATCTATGTCCGAGTACAAAGGTACAGAGTCACCGTAGGGGGGAGTTTTCTTCGTCTGAAAAAATTCTGGCTTCTCTCGTGACCATAAAGTCTCCATATCACTTTTGGTATGAAGGATACGCATGGGATGGAAACTGAGCGCTCTTCTGGTATTTGGACCCCTAAAATAGGTACACTTACTTGTACAGCCTTCGACAGTTCCAGCTTCAACAAGTTCAACGCAATAACTAAGCCCAATGTCTCGCGTCTCAGTCCACAGGCGCTGCGATGCCATCCCTAGATCATGAACGATGAACGAACACCAGCGATAATGGTACCACCACCCCGCGCTACAGCCCAACCCACACCCAATGGGCATGATGCGCTGTCAAACCATGTCACCGCAATCCACTTCCACTTCCCGCCCGCCGATGTGGCACATCGCCGTTGGTGGCACCGCGATGTGTCCACACGTCAGGCTTGCTATTTCGCCTTGTAGTCACACCAGCTACACGCATTCCCATGGATTGCCATTCAAGATGCCCAGCCTCCGGTTCTTCAACAAAAGTACGATCAAAGTTATACTTGCAGATTTGCCTAGACAGCCATGGTGCCTAACGGCATTGGCTGTTGAATTGCCCATGCCCCTATCTAGCACGTCCTACAACGGACAAGCGTGATTGGGAGAAATCCCTCGTGAACTTTACCAAAGATCATGTCAAAAAAAAAGGCACAATTGGATGAAATGCAAAATCCCACTTTATTTACTCCCAACACTAGTATTACAAAACCTAGGTTAAGCCATGATCATTCTAATAGTCATCGTCCGAATCAGTCTCCTCGTCCGGGACGAGAGCCCGGTATCTGCGGCTGGCAAGATCCTCCTCAATGCCGCCCTCGCTCTCGGGGTCAACGTATCCCTCTCCTCCAAATAAGCTGAGAGCAACAGGGAGGAAGATGAGAGCGTGAGTGCCTGCGAAAACAACCAGAGACAGCCACACTCGGAAGTAGTAGATCTCAAAGATCTTTGACCTCGTAAATGCCAGCACGAACACTCCGAGAAGCTTGGTGACGGTGATACCAGAGAAGACGGAGGCTCCAACGTTGACCAAAGCAGTCCAGGCGCGGGCATCACGGCCACGGAAGCGGTTCTTGGCGCGCTCCATGACGGTGCGCGACGGGAACATGAACGCCCTCGCAATATGCGCGCAGAACTCCACGCCGATACCGACGCAGATGATCAGGTTGACGAGCGACACGGCGTTGAGTGACACGCCGAAGACTGCCATTGCTCCGATAATATCGACAACGGTCATGCAGACTGTGACGGTGACGACCAGCGCCGTCATGAGAGATCCCAGAAGGATGGACGCAATGACAAAGATGATTGCCACAGCCGAACCGAGAAGAGCTCCTGTGAGCGAGACGATGCTGGCGTACTGGTCAAAGAAGATGTAGAAAAGACTGTAGGGGAAAACCTCAACACCCGTTGACTTTGTAATGTCGGACGCGATTCTTCGGGCTGCCGACATGGCGTTGATGAAGTCATCCTGGCTGCGCAACGGGGTATGCATCGTTCTGAAATGACTGGCAGGGATGGTGTCCTTCTCCGAGTCGACCACCACCGCATTGCCATACGATGCTTGTCCACCGAGCGGGCAGTCGTCATTGGTAGGCGCCTTGAGGAACTTCTCGAGGTAGTGAACGAACTCACCGTCCTGGGGCATACCGGACAGGGTGATATTCCATGGCGGGTTGCGATCAGCAAAGCATGCCTTGCCGTTCTCAACACAGCACGAATCGCCAAGGTCAGGGTTAAGCCACAAGAAGAAGTCATCGATCCAGCTGGCAGCAGGCGATGAAATGTATGAGACATCGGGTCTCTTGCGCTCACCCTCCAGGATGTTGGAGAGGGAGAATTGGTCGCAGGTGGTGAATCTTGCGCAGATCTCGCGTTGGTTCTTGCGCGCAGTCGCGTTGAACTCTCGGGTGACAAAGTAGACAGGAGGACCGGTCTCCATGTATTTGTAAAGATCGTTGAAGTAGGGGATGAGATAGGAGCCGTCGGGAATGGCAACGCGCTGGTCCAGGCCAAGTTGCACCTCGGGAATAAGTGCGATTCCGGCGGCAAACAGACCCAAGAAAATGGCGATAATGATTGCCTTGGCCTGCTTTGCGAGAATGGCCGGTGCGTATGTACGACGGATGAACTGCTGCAGCCAGCTCTCTTCCGGGACTTCGTAGAACCGCGCGTTGGCATTGCCGTTTCCGCCACTCAGGTGGACGCGAGCTGCCTTGACCTGCAGGCAGGGGATGCAGTCTGCCCTGTGGTCCTCCACGCGAATCTGGTTCATGGCCAGAACTGAAATGAAGAGCGTGATCTGAAGGATGGCGTTGATGAAGACAGCACCAGCGGCATAGGCGGCAAAATTGCGCACCGCGGGCATACCCACGAACGTTCCGAGAGCAAAAGCGACAACTTCGGTCATAGCTGAGAGAAGAATCGACGGACCCATTCGTCCCAGGGCTTTGGCAATACGCTCCTCGACCATCTCGTCAGGGTGGCTCACGTTGACGCGCTCAAACTCGTGAACGATGAGGAAAATGTTGTCAACACCGACGGCAAGAACGATGAAGGGAATGACCTCGGCAATGATGAGCGTCGCCTTGAGTCCGAACCAGGAGAACAGACCGATAGAGGCGCTAATGGACATAAGGACAATTAGAATGCCAACAACGCCGAGTGAGAACTTGGACTGGACCAAAGCCACGGCTGGGTTCCTG